AGCGGACACGCCCGCGTAAACCAAACTATAAAGAGCTCGATAGCACCTAACAGGCTCGGCGGAACGTTTTTTTTAGCTGTGTGAATGGCCCCTTTTCCTGAGCATGCCTACTTAAAAGCGAGGGAGTCGTTTTTGTCCTAACAAACAGTTACCAAGGCAACGTTGCAAATACCGAGCAACCGGCAGGCAAAAGCAGTATGATTTTAAAAATCTACGACACTAAGTGACCACAGGCAGTACCTTGAGAAAGTAGGCGCGAAAATGGCGAGAGCGAAGTGTTTCGATTTTCATTTTCCGTCTAGACTTCCTTTTGTCACACATTCTCCTTTCCTAAATCCTAAGGGATCATTCGGGATGGGCGGTTATGGATAAAAAAAACACTAAAAATCGTACAGTTTTTGTTTAAACCTAGTGACATAAAGACCGCGAAATAGGAATTTCAATAATGGGGTTCTAGGTCACATCACAACGCTCGATCTACGAAACCGTCAATCATAATATCGGCAAAAACCACCTCCAACTTCACCCAAACGGAGCTCGAGTATGTAGAGTGAAAAAAAACAGGCACAGGTACAGAAGAAAGCGAGCCACGTTTGTGGTACTGTACGTAATTCAATATTTCATGAAAAAATGTGTGGTAGAGTGCAAAGAGTCGTGTCACAAAAAAATCAGAATACTAGCTGTAATCTAGCAACAAAAAGTCAACTCGTTGCACGATTTAAATTTCTGTGCTGTGCTGCCTTTGCCTTGGGCCTCATTTTGCGGGCCCTAACAGCAGCCGCACAGCCGCTAGTAGTTTAGGCAGACAGTATTAACGGCAAAGACAAACGGGAGACCAGAATGAACATTTCTGGTTTATTAGCCATCGTCAGCCAGCCATACCCAATAGCCCAAGTCGTGCACCACTCGGGACTCGAACTTGTGACCTTTTGATCAGAGTCTAACGTCCTAACCAACAGACAGTAGATACTAACCTCCCATATAAATGTGCGGGCCGGGTGCAAATTTACTGAAAGCTTGTCTATACACACCAATTGGTCTTCTGAGTTCTCTGGCAGGGGAATTTTTGCAACCTTAAATGAAGTGGTGTCCACTTCAAAGATGTGTGAGGGTGTGGCGGACGG